ATCACGGTCTATAAAATGAGAAAGTATGAGATTCCTACCCCAAGTCGGTAGCCTCCATATCTTATAAAGATTTCAAAGTTTCAAGCAATTGTTACGCAGACAATTATTTGTTTTATATCGAAGAATTTATTTTGATTCTTTTGTTTTAACGTATTACCATTTTGTATCATATCTGCGGACTTACGACGTTAGAAACCAGGTTTCGATACCCGTGGTGAGCAGAACACAGATAACCCATTGTGTAGCTCTGTGCTTAACTTCAAACAAACAAATCCAAGTCAGTAACGTTTGTCCACCGATGGGACAGTGATACGTTTTCGTACTTACAATGTTAAAATCAGTGGTAAAACAAAATATCTATTAACTAAAAGTTAAGATTAGTAGCATTGTTTAGAATAATGTTAAAAGATATATCAATAACGTGTTACGTTAAAGTATTATATTGACATAAACAAAACAAAACAAATCAAATAACTTGTACCCACTGTCACCCACTGCCTGCCTTTCAATGGAGAATATAAGAGGACTGGCTCGAACAACGGATTTGTTTGTTCATTTTGTTGTAAAGCGCAAAGTTACACTGTGGGATATCTGTGTTGTGTTCAACACGGATATCGAAACACGATTTTTAATATTATAAGCCTTCAGACTTGCAACGGACATGAAGCATCGGTAAAATATTCCCGTTTTTACTAAATGTGTAATTTCAAGGACAAAGAAAGAAAAAACCGAAACTGAATATATGTGTCAAGGAATTGTCAAATAAGAATAGAAATAAGTGTTGATTTTGTAAGCTGGATAAGAAGAAAGAATTTTCGTTTGAAGTTACTCATTAACATCTAAAATCATTTCACATTCATCATACCACAGTACATAATGAAATTCTCACAAAACGTCTACGAGAAAATAACAAGAAACAAATTAGGCCATAAGTGTACATTGTCATTTAGATACGATTTATGTTTAGATAAGCAACGTTTATTCTCGTTATGGATAATGCGATGAGAAAATATTGAAGAAACAGTTTGTTTGTTTTTTTTTGCATAATTTAAACAAAAACGTTCATTGACAAACTTTTTATAGTTTTCTTAAGTAGAAATGAAAGTCAACCGGTCGATGTTAGATCAAAATATCTTACATTTTAACAGACCAATAAAAGTAATATTTGAAGAAGTTAGCATAAAATATGCTACTCCTAAAGTGTGTTCTACATTGCTAAAAGTGATCATGTTTGGTTAACATGAAATGAACAAAACGAAAGTAGAGAAGTCCACGTTTTTTTTTCATTGCCGTATTAAGAAAGTTTGTTTTTTAGAGCAAAGCCATGTTGGGCTACCTGTTGTGTCCACAGTAAGGAATCGAACGCTGGATTTTAACGTTATAAGCCATAGACTTACCACTGTCCCACCGGAGGACGTCAAGATTGGGCTAAATACTTCTCAACTATATAACTTTTGCTAAAACATTTTCATACTGTACTATAAAATGAGTCTGGTAATCATAATATCAAACTCTTTAATCAAAATAATTAAAAAACATATTTTAATATGTAGGATTTCAACGCTTATTTAATATATTTTTAGCACAAAAAATAAATATATTACTTAAATGAAAATACACTTACGCAAATGGATAATTCTTCGTTAAAGATTTCAATATGGGAAGAGAAGTGTAATCTTCAAAATCATAAGTCTCTATAACTTACTGGTCATATGGGTCTTGCTTCTAGAAAAAAATAACTTTGTTAACGTTTTTTAAATTTGAAATGTTCATAAATTTCAGTGTTTTATACTTCGATATATTCAAAAAGTTTAATATATCGAAACAAAATCCATGACAAATTAAATATTTCAATTTACCTTCTGAATAATACAACATCATATAACGCACATGTTAATATCCTACAAAACATTTAGCGCTGAAAAATCTCTCTCCATCAATATTGTTAGCCCCCCAGTGGCACAGCGGTATGTCTGCGGACTTACAACGCTAGAATCCGGGTTTCGATACCCGTGGTGGGCAGAGCACAGATAGTCCATTTTGTAGCTTTGTGCTTAATTACAAACAAACCATCAATATTGTTAACACTGAAGTTTATGATACCAGCGAATGTTGTATGTTCACAACCCCCATACAAGTCTTCATTCTGCAGTACGTGTAGTACTAATATTGCTGGGATAAACAAATATACAATAAACTAGAATAAAGAAAATAAATACAACTCAAATTGTTGTTGAACAACGATACACATGTTTGAAAAGTAATTTCTAGTTATTTAACGAAATTTGAAATACAAGCAAAAACCTAAATTCAGGTTTTAACAATGCTTAAAAATGACACTGTTGCCCGAAAAAATAATACTTTTTATGGAAGCTGCATTGCATCTTAAACTATTTGGCTTTAAAACTTAATTCCGCTTTTTTAGGATACCTTCTAGAGAAAAGGACAACTTACAGATAAAAATGAATAAAGAATATGTCGGAGTTCACGTAATTATATATTTTATTTTAGACTTAACCATGCTCTAAGCCAGTCACAACTCCAAATATCTGCTAAACGGATCTATTCATTGTTCTGTCTCATATATTCTGCACCATTGTAAAGAATGAAAGTACCAACCTCTAGATTTGGCTGTCAGAGCTCCCCGAACGTAGCCTGGTGGTTAGGGCTCTCGACTCACAATCTGCGTGTCGCGAGTTCGAATTCCAGTCACACCCAACATGCTCGCCTTTTCAGCCACTGAAGCGTTATAATGTGATGGTCAATCCAACTATTCGTTGGTAAAATAAAAGCCCAAGAGTTGGCGGTGGATGGTGTTGACTAGCTACCTTCCTTCTAGTCTTACATTGCTAAATTAGGGATGGCTAGCTCAGATAGCCCTCGTGTAGCTTTGCACAAAATCCTAAACAAATCAAATCCCCACATGTTCACTCCACAGTCGGTTAGCTTATACACTCACAAGGCAGATTAACTCCACACGACCACGACCAAAGTTGTTACCTTTTCTTAGAAGAATTTAATCAATTAAGAGAAAATCCACCTGTTCACCTGGTAACAACAATAAACAAATATTTTAAATTATATGTACAATATTTTTATATATTTTACTTTAAACCAGAGAAAGTGATCTAGATTTCTATTGGAGATGAACTTTTTGATGCAAATAACTCGTTTGTTGAAACATTTGGGAACATGATCTCTAACTCGATGAATTTCAATCGCTTTTACTGATTACAGATCTTCAAAATCAACCTCTTTACTGTAGCTGTGACAGTGGTTTAGTAATTTACGTGCATAACCTTTGTAATCCCCTTCTGTTGATATGACTGAAAGTTTTCAAAGGCGTCTTAAATGCACTTGGGGATTTCAACTAACATATTAGCTAATGCACTATCTTCTGTCTTTGTTCCAATTAGTAATTAACTCATCTTGATGTACAACCTTGGGATGAAGATTGTTGCATGTGGTGAATGATCTAACTATGTAGTGCCTATAACAGCCACTGTTACTCTCAGATCTTTTCCAGCCCTAATGTTTCTATTTGTTTAGTTCCCTAAAACTTAGCTACTTTATTGCACGAGTAGTTATTATCACTTATTTATTCATCTTCTGCCTTCTAGGGTCCCTATGCCTGATACAGTTTTGATCAACACAGCATAGCTTGATTATGGATGAACTGGTGAGCTCCCCTTAAGTGGCACCGCTACTCTTTGTTTCTACAGGAAGTTTATTTCTCCCTAACTGTTAGGTTGAGTGTAATATAAATAAATATTCATCACTTTGCTTATCAAGCCATGTCATCAGCAATCTAACTCATCATGATGTTAGTCAAATAACTCAAGAACTGGCACACTATACATAAAACAGCAGCTGACTTGTCTCTGCTAGCCACATGCACATTGGTCAGTCTATTCCATCTTGTGCCACCTACTTGCTCTCCTAGATTTAATTTTCTGTCCTTGTCATCGGCCTACATGACACCATTGAAATTTGGCGGGTGTATATTCTGATCTATGATTTCCAGTAAGGTATTTTTAATAAAACATAAGTGTATCTATATGTTAATAACATATGTTAAACGTATTTGCTAACGACATATCAGTGATTGTA